CGCCGGAGAGATGTAGCCAAGGCAACAGGACTGATTGAAACTTATTGCGGCAATGCTCACTTTGTTAACAATGCCCTTGAATAATAAGCTGAGACTGCGCTCCACTTTGCTCGATCATTTCACTCAGAACTCATACTCTTCATCTTTATTGAATTCAGTTTCTGCAAAGGTTAAAAGTTAAAGAACCGCTATAGATTGGAGAGATCAGAGCCACCTTCCCTTTATCTATAAAGCGATTGTATGACAAATTAATAGTTTATGCTGAAATGTATTTCTGTGTAGAAACTTTCCTTTTAAATCTGAATGATTTATTTGTCAGTTGGATCTTTTTTAACAAGACTTGCAACCAAGTAACTCCACAAAAGGAAACCATGCCAATAAAAAGAGAACAGAGCAATTGAAGATGTTTTCATTCTCCCTGGTACCACTAATACTTTAATGCGTCATTTATGAGAACTGTATGAGAATTGCGCCATTTAAAATAATCAAATGGCAATTGAGATTTATGTTTTTCTTTCTCCAAAGCATTGTGTTACCGTTTCTTGAACCTATTGTGCCATATGACCGTTTGAGTTTGGAATTATATTACAACACTGCCATCTACTGGCATTTTACATTGTGACTTTACATTTATTTAAACTGTTGTCCGTAATAAAACAATTGAAGAAGAGTAGGTTGACACTCAAAATACGCTTTTGCTATGTACTAACATTTTCTTCTATTGTGAAACCTCCATTTCCTTCCTGCACAGGAACCTGTCCTACTTTACCAAGCAGAAGAGTCCCTCTGCTGTCATTCTCAGTCTCTGGGAGGCCAGGCATCAGGACAGTGGAGATCTTGACTCACTTGCATGTGCTTTAGAGGAGATTGGAAAGATCCACTGTAAAAGTCTGCCTCAGAGTCCAGATGAGAATGAAACAGACTTTACGTTTTGAGGTACTATTGAAGACTATACTTATTCCACCAGGTGCAATGCATCTGCAACCAGCTAAGGTATCCGGGCTGAGAGAAGTCTGGAACTGGAGGCGACCAATCAGACAGTTTCACGTATCTGACCATGTGCAAAGTTGTACATGTGCAAGTTGGCATGAATTTGGCACAGATTCAACAGCTTCAAAATGCTTTTCTCAAAGAAAGCATCACAGTGCCAATCCATCGCATCTTACACGATATTCCGCCTTAGCCTTTCTTTGGCGTTTATGATTTTTAAAAAATTATTGTGAGGGAACTGATTGGTGGCCAGGCTGGGATTTCCTTGAGCATTTCCTTTTTTTTTTTTTCTACCATCTTTTCTCCAACAGTGTTCCAGAGTTCCGCAGTATTTATATTCATTCTGCATGTTACTACTGATGTGTGCTTTGTTTGCACTATATGATGTTTAGAGAAGGGAAGAGAAGGAAATGCACTCCTGAAAATACCTTGTGATTGTGGCTCACTCTGTTCTTTTATTTCTTTTGTTGTTTTATTGTCATTTTGCCAACTTAAAGTAGTTCACTTTAAAAAAAAAATTTGCTGATAATTTACTCACCCCCATGTCATCCATGATATCCATGTCATTCTTTCTTCATTTGAAATGAAATTAAGGTTTTTGATTAAAAGATTCCAGGATTTTTCTCCATTTAGGGTCTTATCAAGCGAAATAATCGCTCATTTAAAAAAAAAAAAAAAAGTTTGAGTTTTATAAACTTTTATAAGGTCACCTTGCTCTGCTCTTTGATGCGCGTTCGTGGCTCTCCTGTTCGAAATCGTTTATTAAAATGAACGAATCTTTTTTTCGTGTCATTTGGTTCATTCAACGAACGAAATGAACAAATTGACTTGGGAAAAGATTTGTTCATTTTAATGAACAAGTTCGAACAGGAGAGTCACAAACGCACATCACAGAACAGAGCAAGGTGACCATTTGAGCTTATAAAACTTGTTATTGTTTTTGTTTTGTTTTTCAGTAGTCCATTATATGGAGAAAAATCCTGGAATGTTTTCATCAAAAACCTTAATTTCTTTTCGACTGAAGAAAGAATGACATGGATATCTTGGATGACATGGGGGTGAGTAAATTATCAGCAATTTTTTTTTTTTTTAAAGTGAGCTACTCCTTTAATGAGATCAGTTGAGGAATAATTATGAATAATATATCATGATATAAAGATTCAAACTTTTTTTCAGCTATAAAAGTTATGCAGGTTTGGGGGTAAAAATCAATTACGTTTTTCCCTTTGAATACTTTAAAGCATAACCCCATCACACACGCTTAAATGCATTACTCTGTTCCTGTGAGCGTGTACTAGTCATCAGGAGCGGCATCATGCCTTTTATAGAAAGCGTCAGGATTGAGACTAATATTGACCTGAAGAAGCGTTTACTCACGCCATGCAACAGCAGCACATACCTTTTGTTAACATTTAGCGCTTTCTTTTGAAATGCAGCTGAAAAGGAAGAACTCCAAGAGACCTCTGTATAATAGCCTCTCTTATCTCCTCTGACCAAATTCCACCATGGAGTGAGAAACACAATGGGGGAACACGGGCCGGTGAGCAGAGAGAGATATAATTAAGGTCTGATAAAAGGAAAGGAGCTATGTGGAAAAATGCTGTCAGAATTGTAGGAAAAAAAGTTATGTCCTCCTTTTCCAAGTCATCTACTTCATTAACCTTCTGTCTCAAACAGAAAAGCCTCCAAGAGCTCAGTTTATTTGTTTTTTAGTTGTAGACACTACAATACTTGCCACTGCTTATACTGGATATTCTTTTTTTATATATTTTAATTGTAGTTTTAACATAAGTTTTACGAAGCATTTAACAAATCGGATCAGCAGACGCTGCTAAACCACCAGTTGTTGACCTAACCATCTTATTTTAATGTATTACCAAATTTGCTGTCACCCCCGCTAAAATCGAATTAAAACACATTATGTCATCAGTTTTATGAATTTGAAAGAAAATTGCTTTCAAGTTCATATGTATGTCCAAATGATGGTACATGACGATTATGTTAAGCTTCAAGTACAGAAATAATTCTAGCTAAAACAAAAATAAAAAATAAAAAAATCTAGAAATGGCTATCAAACCAAACTTCAGCAAAAACTCAGCAACAAAGAAAAAAAAAATCAGCAAAACGGATTTGGCCTTATTGTTGTAGACTGCAGTCATAGTAGTACTATTTGATAAACTAGTCCAAACCTTCAAACGGAACAGTTCATGATAATCCGTCCCACGTTCATGTTATATTTAGGCCTTTGCTAAAAATTATGATTCTTGTGCCTTGTATAACTTCTGTAAATGGTGAATGTTGTACAGGTTCTGAAGATGGTTCTGAATCATGCAAATGTACTGTAAAATATCAGTAAAAAAAAAACAAAAAACATTGTATTACACTGATATGCAGGGGTCAAGAGCTTTTCTAGTGCTAAATATACTTGTTTGGTATCGCCAGGCCAGCTTTGTGGTATATTGTATCTATGATTATGAACATTTTGGATGTTTTCTGTACAGTAGAGTTTGCGGATGTATATGCAGTCTTTTGGAAATAAATGTACAGCTAAAGAGAGCTGCAACTCTAGCAAACATGCCCCGTGTCTTTATTCTCTTTCAATGTGCGTATGATTTTCAATTAGTGTAAAGCAGGCAGATAATGTAATATGTCTGTCCATTTCTGTGCCTTACAGAAACGGTACAGGGCGTTTGCGTTGTTCTGCAACTTGCTCCTCTTCATCAGAGCAAATTTAATTCTTCAAAATTAAAGTAATATCCTGATGAACAGGTGATTAACACATACATTTGCCCAATATCCTCAGAACTGTAGTTCAACAGACAACTAAAAGATGAAAACGTTCATTTCAGCAAATTTTATGTCTCAGACATGCTGTAATTTAGTTTTATAAATAGCTGATACAAAGTCCACTGCTGGTAGTCTTATCTCAAATAGGCTAACCCCTCCTCTTTCAGTAACTTCTTATCAAAGGACACATAAGGGACTAAAGATTCAGCCCTCATATCCATGGTAACTTCGAGTTTGTTTGTTCTTGTTAAAGTTCTCACTTCTTTGAGCAACATTAAGAAATAAGCAAATGCATCTTAATAAAACTTCGATTTGAAGATGACACAATAGCAGGATGTATATAGTTAGCCTGCAATTCCATTAAATAAAAAGTCACTTAATGTTAACGTAATTGGTTGTTTGGCATCTGTCTGAAGAAAGTCAGAGGGAATAAAACTAAATCAGTTTTTAGGAAGCAAGAAAACAATAGGCTAGTGAGTTTGTCGAAATGAAAGAAAGCTGCTTTCAGTGGACCACACAGTAATTCCTTACAACGGCCCATACAAATATTGTAGTTTATCCGGGAAACTCGTCGTCACTAATAAAATAAAAACTTGGTTGAAAAATCCCAGTGTAGGCTAATCTAATATGGCTAATGAGTGGATCACGTGGTTAACTGTGTTTGAATAAGGAGCGACCTTTGTCTGCATTCTGAAGCATCAGTATGAAATTCCCCTTAGACTTGACAAATGAATAAACAAACAGATGTCCCACCTTCCTCCGTACACTGCAGTCGAATAGTATCCTTCAGTTAATTTCCTGTGTTTTACACAGTGTCGCTCAACAGTCATAGTATCGCACTGTCACAGTCAACTGTCTGCTAGATAGCGGCAAACTGACAGAGATGCCCTTGCATTGCGGAAATTGATAATAATGTTGTGTGCGTTCAGATGTCCTGAGAATATACGGTTGTTGGTGATTCACTCAGATGACTAAACACGTAGAACAAAATTATCTGACTTGGCCTATATTTTCCTAAGACATAATTTAAAATATTGAAATACATAAAGTAGTAATTCAACACGATGTGAAGTTTCTAAGCGACCTGGGTGCTAGCCAGGTTTTCTCGCTTGGTTCATGAAAATAATTAGATCACGTGACTAACGCTCAGACACTTGTTAGGGTAACGTCACACGAAACCTAATTAATATTCATAAGAAAAGCCTCGGCCATAGTAGGATCCGTAGGATTCGTCCCTTCTCATTCAGCGTGTTCAGGTTTGAAGAACCACTCAATTCCAAAATATAAGACCGGAAGTTTTCTCGACAGCTAGATACTTGAGGTGTGTTATCAGTAGGATGGTCTTGGGACTTATCTTCTTTCAGTTTACGGAGAAAGTGACGAAATGATTTGATTACTATGAGAATGAGATACATTATTATCTTGGTAAGTAAATTTAACATTTATTTAATTTGTTTTTAGATACAGTATATTTGAATGTTGTTATAGAGAAACTTTGAAAGTTTAGTTTGCTTCATGACGCTTTAAATTGAGACATGCTTGGACTGGTCCGCGACGATAAACCACCTGGCACAACATTTCTTTGTCAATTAAAAAATACAAAAACTTTAAAATAATTCGAAACCGTGGTGTAATCAATATCTATCTCTATACAAATACTCACATAACTTTAGTGTGTTTAAAATAGTGTTGACGTGGAAATTGGAATGACAATGACTTAAAAAATATACCGAAAATGGAATAGGCATGTAAAGAAATGGGTTTTATAAATAGAATTTTTTTTAATGTGTGTGTGTGGGGGGGCACCAATAACCTCAATAGTATGGGTTTTTTCATACTATACAAGTCAATGGTGCCCCACAAATGTCTGGTTACCGACATTCTTCAAAATATCTTCTTTTGTCTTACATAACAAAGAAATTCATATATGTTGGGAAAAACTTGAGGGTAAGTAAATTATGACAGAATTGTCATTTTTTGGGTGAACTATCCCTTTAAGTTTCCAACGCAAACAAACTCGAGTAGTATGAAGCTGCAGACTCGGAGACCTGCATCTACAGTCCCCCTGCACCCAGAGTCCCGCATTCTCAGACCCCTCGTTTTTCGAGTCAGCGCCTCCTATCAAATTGTATCAGATAAACAGAACTTAAGCCAAAAAGTGAGTAGGCTGTCTTCAATTTTATTTAGAGAATCGTAATAGCTCGTTTGATTTATTTTTTAATAAAACTAATTTAGCTAATCGATACAATAAGAATAGTCCATTTAATATTTGTAAAGGTAGTTTGTAACAAGATTTGAGCCGTTATGTTTTTTCGCCCTCTTTACCCCGAAAATATTTTGATAGCTAACGTTAGCCTTTAACCTCGGACTTTTTTATATGTCATAAATGCTGCAGTTATTTTTACTGCCCATTTTGTGCCCCCATATATCTCAAACCCACAATGTTGTCCAAAGTTCAAAAACATCTCAAGGGACACTTACAGTCAGAGCAGTGCAACATGAATTTGATTTTTTTTCTTTCTTTTTCTTTAATTTTGAATAAAAAAAATATATATATATATATATAAAAAAAAACATTGTAGCAATAAAATATCACATAGACTATTTTTCAGAAGATAGTTCAATCTGTAATTGTATCCCTTCCATCAGTAACAATGAGTTTTTTGGCACCTGCATTAAGCAGGGAACGCAAATATTTATTGGATAATTTATTTGAAGACCGTAATATTGCATCCTATTGTTTTTAATTGCATTTGGATAAGCGTGCACTGTACTCTGTGTGTGGGTGTTATTCGATCTTTTGAACAGCAGGAGGCGCTGTGTTCGAAAAATGAGGGGTCTGAGAATGCGGGACTCTCGGTGGGGGACTGTAGATGCAGGCTCCGAGTCTGCAGCTTCATAATATTGACAAACTCAAGTGTTCTGAGACAAAATGAAAGGTGCGATAAGATTTACACCAGTAGGTGTCACTATAAGATACAACACCATTTGATCACAGGCTATCCATAATTATTTACCAGAAAGTCAGTCTTTTTAGAAGCATATGTCATCATTTTTACTGTTTCTTCTGTGTGTAGGTTTTGTTGTTGCTAAATATCAGTCACTTGGATCTGTCCTGGGCTCAAGGGTCCATGAAGAACAGATCAAGTCGGGATGTTTCCTGCAGAGAGAGCCTGGAGTATGAACATGATAACATCTGCTGCCTGAACTGCCCTGCTGGTGCATGATAATTTTTAATAAACACTGGTTCTGGTTAGACAATGCACATGCACTTATATTCCACCAACTCATCTTTTTGCAGGAACCTTTGTGAAAACGGCCTGCCTTACTGCTTCGGAAAAAGGAGAGTGTAAAACATGCGAGTTTGACACATACACTGAGCATGAAAATGGACTGCAGAAGTGTTTATCGTGCAGCATGTGCCGTATAGGTAGTTCTGTTATTTGACAATATTGTCCCATACTGCCAAGTCTGTTGGATTTATGCAAATTATTTTAACATAAACTTTTATGGTCATTCAAGTCAAATCATTTCTGTGCTCCCATGATAGACTTCCTTCAGATATATTTAATTGTAAATTGCCTGCTGTTTGTGCTCCTTCTGTAGATCAGGAAACCACTGAGAAATGCACAATTACCCAGAACACAAAGTGCAAGTGCAAACAGGGGTCATTTTGCTTACCTGACCAGGCATGTGAGGTGTGCAAGAAATGCAGCAGGTAAGTTTTTAATGGAACATTTGATCAAAACTTAGATTTTGGACAAAGAAGTCTCATGTTAGTCAAACTGATTAACATGAACGCCACGAATAGCACACCAAAAAATGAAAATGTGCACAAGCAAACAAACTTCATTGGTTCTGGTATGACAAGCAAGCACTTTGAGCTTCTATGTACTATATTTGCATTCATCAATGTTTGTGAATAAAATTAGATCTGTTCATTTTATAAATCTCTTCAGAATAAATGGCTTGATTCACAGGGATTTCTGTCTTTTTGAAACATCAAAGTTTTGTCTTTCAGTGGTTTCATAAAAAAAAATATCTTAATTTGTGTTTCAAAGATGACAACATGAAATTAGTTTAATTTTTTTGTGAACTCAAAATCATTTCATTTGTTGAACCCAGATGCAAAGAGGATGAGGAGACTGTAAAAGGCTGTACACACATTTCCAACACAGTTTGTAGGAAGAGAAGTTCTTCAGGAAGCTCCATCTCAGGTAGCCCAATGATTTAAAGTTAAGGGAATTAGAATTGTTAACTGGGATATTCGATCCAACATGTCTTTTGCAAAGGCTTTGTTTCCATAGTGTTTCTCATAGTGATTACAACCCATTTGTCCCACAGTGACTTTCATTGTTGTTCCACTAATTGCAATGCTGGCATGCATTTTGTGTATCGTCTACTGGACAAAGTCAAAACCAAGTAAAGGAGCGGGTAGGGCACACATCTTTCCTCGGTTCTTTCAATATTTCTTCCATGATTCTTTTTTTCTTACCGTACAAAATCTTTTTTAATTCCAGTCACATCAAGGAGTCCAAGGGAAATGGTTAAGATCTGTATGGTAGGTCAATGAGACATTTCTCAGTTTTAACCACAGAAACTCATGCATTTTGATTTAACTCCGCACTGATTTGAACTCTGTAAATATGACGACCAGATGACATCTTTCTTGCCCTGTAGGGTGACAATGAGGAGGTGATAGAGGAGAGGCAAAATGCCCAGAATTCCAAGATCAATGACTCCTCTCAGCTCCAGCCATTTCTTGAGCAAAACTATACGGTGTGTACCCATGCACCTGCTTCATCAGAGATGGAAAAAGACAGGGGCCTAGGGGACAGCCTCCCCAACACCGCCAACTCTTCACAAATTAGCCTGGCCATGTCCGCTGTCCCCATTGACCTCCAGCCCCTCCACACTAACCAGCCTCCAAGCTCTGCAATTGCCTGGCAGCCTCACACTTTGGTGAGAGTTGCTGCTTTCTTTGTATTAACAACACTTCTACCGTCATAACCAATGCTTAAGTCTCTGCTTTTAATATTTCCTAAGCTTGAATGCATTGCCTTTGGTCATTTGGAGACTAGAGGAAGTAGCAAATTTACTATCTTTTGGTGTCTGCATTGTCATAGCTTTCTTTCAGGATAAAGACTTTCCATGTTTTGTAATACTTTGTAAAATCAGTTTGTTTTTTTTTAAACACAATTGAACATGGAGAGGTCAAGTTTTGCAATATTTTTGCACTTTTTGTGTTAATGAGACAAACTCAGATACTGGTGACAGCTTATATCTTTGTTCGGCATTTTTGGACCTGACGTTTCCAGTAACTCCTGAGCAATCTGTGTGTTGTTTTGGGAATAGGTGTTACTTCATTAAATAATTACGTGGCTATTGATATGATTTTTTTTATGAATAAAGTTCGGGTGGGGCCGAACTCCGACCTCAGAGCCCTCCCCCCCGGACAGCACGCCAAATATGCATTAAACTTTTCTCTGGAAACCCAGACTGTATGGCAGGGAATCTAGAATATACAGTTTATACTGTATAAAAATATGTCTGACGTTCTGTCTTTCTCAGTGAGACAAGTTTGATTGACTAAAACTAAGTTTAAACTACTGTAAAAAGCCTCATATACATAATTGGGATTTGTCAAGCTTTCATTGTCGTCTTGTTCAAAAATAAGTACCCCCAGTAACCACCATTTTAACTGTCAACGAGTCACATTAATTCGCTATACAAATAAATGTGAATTGAACTGAATTACCATAAAATGATATTCTTCCATCTCTTTTAGGAACGAGAGTGGTCAAGAAGAGTCGTTCCTTTGAACGGTAGGGCCATAACTTTTTTTCCTTGCATAATTTCAGAATTTGTGGGGGAAAAAAAGGTTATGTTACAGTGTTTGTACTTAATCTCACCTTTTCAGGAGAGGAATCGTTGAAGAAAACGTTTGATTTCTTTGAAGAAATGGATGTTCACTATCATAACAGATTCTTCAGGTTCATTGGACTGAGTGATAATTCAATCAAAAGTACAGATTCTCTTTTTCCAGAAGACAGAGTTTATGAACTTTTAAAAATCTGGATGGAAAAGGAGGGACTGAAGGCAGATTTCAACAGTCTTATTGAAGCATTAATCTATTTAGACCAAAGGCTGTCAGCAGAAAATATTGTTACAAAGGCAGTTAGTAATGGTTACTTCAAATATGAAGATGAGTGACTGGAAACAAACAAATATTGTCACCATTTTAGTGACCTCAGGTACCAAAGGTATGCTTTTTTTTTTTGCATTGCTTAGCTTATGTAGTGTTATTTCCTAGCTATTCCAAAATGGAACATGTTTCAATATTTATTACGTTGGCCAATAATGTTCAAATGTTTAGAAAAGGTAAATGCTATGCTGCTGTTTATATTAGTTACATTTGGAGGAAAAAAAGTGATATTTAAGACTTCTAATATTATGAAATGTTGAGTTACTATTATTGTGGTCGCATTCTTTCCCAATTTGTAGACAAAATTGATGTACATATGATCTTGAATAGGTTAACATATCATGTGAATTATTTTGTTGTGAACTAATAAAAGCAATTCATTTGTACATTTTGTTTGTATGCCCTTATTGATTGTGACTTTACAATGACGTTTTAAATAATGTTAAGATTCTGAATATAATGTCCGCATACAACTCTGTTGGTTGGACGTTTCTTAAAAGTTCTAGTATATGAAAACTGTATTTCAGCCTGCTCGCCACCAGAGGTCACCAGATCTATATATAGATTTCAACCTATGATTTCAACATCAAAATAGTTTATATATATATATATATATATATACAATTTTGTGGACATTTGCCTTGCGTAGCTTATGTATTGGTTTTAGAAAATTAGCTTCAGTGTGTAAAAATGTTTGTAGTAATTTCCTTTTAAAGACACCTTAGGCACTTATTGTACGTTATTGTATTTCACTTACGTCATTATGTCAGTGTTTTTTAGATTAATAATCAAATGTTAAGAGATAATTCAAATAAATTCTTTAATCGTATTTTATTGCGAAATAGGTCGTGTTCACTACACTTCCCATGCACCCTTGTAGTTAAACAGGAAATGCAATGTTGGGTTCCGCGTTTTACAAAAACCATGACCATTGTGAGCTTGGTCGTTAAAGTTAGTACACGCTTATTTTCTCTCTTGCATTACATCTGATAGAATCACATTATCTTTAATTAACAGTCAGTTCTGTTATATTTAATACAATTTCTAAAATATTTTGCGTGTGTACCTCGTTTGTTTTCGAGTGTCCTCAGACTGGCATTACGTCACAACCAAACACAACCTGTAAGACACAAACAACAATGTAAGACTACAAAAGAAGTAGTAGCTCCGTAAGAAGTAGAAGCTCCGTAAGTTTGCGGACCTTTCATGCGAAAGGTTTTTTAACATGTTTTGTTGCATATGTCATTGCATCACGGAAGCAGTTTAAATAGTTCTCTCTTTTGTGCAGCATAGTGTTATAATAATTTCCATTTCATCCTTACTATTGCTAGTTTTTCCCTTTCTGCTGTTCCTCATTTATTCTAATGGTTATTGTTTGCCATCTGGTCTGTTTGCAGAAGAAATCGAAAATCATGATGGGGAATTATGGAAAGAGGAACTGAGATCAAGTCAGAAAAAATACCCGTCACGAGTTTGTTTGATATTTGTGAGATACCAGATAAAGGTACAGTACACATGTGCTGCACTACTCTATTTATTTGAGTTTGTGACATCGCGTTTTTATAAGGCATGTTAAAATATTTTGAAATGCTTATTAATGTTGTTGTTTGTCTTGATGAACACCTGTATGATTCAGTCTACATTTGACAAGTATACTTAATCCGCATTCTCTGTTTCTGCAGCACTCACAGGATGAGAGGAATTGTAGCATTTTACGTTACCTATCTGCTGTGCTTGGTACTGGGGATTGTCTGTGTGGTATTAGTAGCATTCTGGAATTACACCTACCGAGGTGGATTTGCATGGGACGGTTCAGCCAAGCAGTTCAACTGGCACCCGGTCTTCATGGTCACTGGAATGGTGGTTCTTTTTGGGAATGGTACGTTTGATTGGGTATTATTTTGGCTTTTGTTTCATGCTACTGTAGCTGTAATATAACACGTGACACTGCACAAGCAATGGTTTCAGCCTTGTGGTAGAAAGTTTGTGTTTGTTTTAGTTTGATGTGTTACATTATTTGTATTTCTGTCATTTATTCATTTATTTTGTCAGTTGAACAGACTTTCTGTCAGTTGTCATTAATGTCATTTTCTCTTGTAACCAGCGGCTGTAGTGTACCGTATTCCTCTGACATGGGGTCACAATAAGCTCCCGTGGAAGCTGTTACACGCTGGGCTTCTGCTCCTTTCTCTCATTCTGTCTGTTCTCGGGCTTTGTGCTGTGTTCGACTTCCACAACAAAAACCAAACACCCAACCTCTATTCCCTCCATAGCTGGGTGGGGATTTGTACTACTGCACTTTTCACTGCACAGGTGTGTATCGTGTTAAAACTGCTCATGTACAGTGTAGTAGTTTGTCTTCATTTGTTGTTGTAAACAACAGTTAAACAGTGTATAAACAAATAGTTTCCGCTGTGAAACAATCAATTAAAAAGGTAAGTGCAACTTATTATTCTTATAACCCACAATTGTGGTTCTGTATTTCACAATTCTAACTTTATTTCAGGCTTGACTTGTTTGACTAGTTTTCTCAGAATTGTGAGCTATGAACTCATAATTGCGCCTAAAAAAAGTCTGAATTGTGAGATAAAAGTCGCTATTACCTTTTTTAGTATTATGCCGGGGCGGACACATGCTTGCATAGAGGAAGTAAATAAAAAACATTAATCTTCCCACAGGAACTAAAAAAATGTCCCTTTCTCTATTCCCCAGTGGGTCATGGGTTTTACCGCGTTCCTCTTACCTTGCGCCCCAATGGCTGCACGTGCCCTTATAAAGCCAGCTCATGTATGGATGGGAGGAATCATCTTGGTACTGAGCATTGTATCTTGCATCTCAGGGATCAACGAAAAGCTATTTTTTGCACTGTAAGTGACATGTATCTGCAGTTGCAGGTGAAGAACCTATGTATATATGACTACTAATGTTTGAGAGATCTTCATGGATTATTTGTGCCGTTTGATGATTTGATTATTATGAATTCGATATATTATTAAATATAATGTCGATAATCGATATATTTTAAGATTTGCAGTATGATGTAGAAAGAAGAAGATAAAAAAAGAACATGTATTCATAAATGTAGAGCTCTCAATACATTCATTGTGGTGCCATAGCAAACGCGTTCTTCTATTGGTTCTTTCCTCAGAAAAGGAAACACCAATCAGACGCTGGCTTATTCTTCATTACCACCAGAGGCAATCGCTGCAAATTCTTTGGGAGTCGTCATTGTGGCGTTTGGATTGGTTGTTTTGAAAATCTTGTCCAATCAGATATGGCAGCGTCCTGAGCCAGGTTATGACGAGGGAGTTTACAGGGTAAGAGACAAAGGATTTTAAGAAAAGAAAGAAATTGCCAGCTAATATTGTTATTGTGACAAAGTCATGTTTAAGTACCTTGACTTAGTACAAACCTTTCTATATTCATAAATTATTAACTAAGAAAGTATTCATGGGAGTATTTTTATTTTTTATTTTCTGACAGAAGTGTTTTTATATTGTCCCTTTCTTTCATTTTCAGCCCCTGGCATATGATGGAAGCTGATGTCTTAAAGCTGAATGTCTGAAAATGTTGTATTTATTTGAATTCTGACTGATCAGCTCTCTTCAGTCGAATCAAAGTTATCTTTATGTGCTTTTGCTTAGATTTGATTGTGTTGCTGCTGGTGTTAAAAATTGTGTAGAGCAAAGGCAAAATATCATAAATAACCACTGCTTATTTTTCAGTGTTTTGTGCTAATTTATTATTAAAGAAGGCCTCTGTATATAAAAATTATTAAAATAATTTTATGACACATCAATGTTTGTGTCTTTGAAGGAAAACCAGATGAAGGTATTTCCTCTTTGTTTCTCAAACCGGTTCAAACCGGCTGGGAAGGGCATTCAAAAAAGGCAGGGACAAACCACCACGCGTCATCATCAGCGAATAACCAATAGGAAACCAAGACAGTCTCGGACCAATCAAAGCGCTAGGCAGAGGTCTTCAAAATTTACATATTTCGGTAAAAATCCAAATCAGTTATCGTTTGATAGTTTGAAATATACGCAATAAAACACACATGTAATGCAAATCCATACCAAATTAGGTTTCAAAAGTAATGTAATTATACTCTGAAAAACCAGCAAATATCATTTTAAAAGGATATAGGATCATAAGGAGGTCTGTCCTAATAACTGAAAGCACGCTTTACACTTGTTTATTTTCGTTTATACAGTCTATGGTTTATTTGTTATACAAATTCTTCCATTCCATGGTCTGTACTAAAAAATAAAATAAAAAACGGAAGCTCAATAGATCATTTTCTATTTCCCTTCTTGTTTTGCACTGTCTGTTACACTCAATGGTTACACGACATGATGAGCTCCGCCTGCAGTGACGCTCTTACAAGCATGGTTTCAACAAGGTCCGCTTTAAAGATACTTATGAGTCTTCCCCAGTCCGCCACCCATTCATTCCTATCCCATTCGTGCGTTTAGAAATCTCAGTGAGCTACCATGTCTGGTCGTGGAAAAGGCGGCAAGGGGCTTGGGAAAGGTGGTGCAAAACGTCACCGCAAAGTCCTGAGAGACAACATTCAAGGAATCACAAAGCCAGCTATTCGCCGCCTAGCTCGTCGTGGTGGCGTGAAGCGTATTTCTGGTCTGATCTATGAAGAGACGCGTGGTGTTCTGAAAGTGTTTCTTGAAAATGTTATTCGCGACGCTGTAACCTACACCGAACATGCTAAGCGCAAGACTGTGACTGCTATGGACGTAGTGTATGCTCTGAAGCGTCAAGGCCGTACTCTGTATGGTTTTGGCGGTTAAATTTCGCCCGGACCGTATTTCAATAAAAGGCTCTTTTAAGAGCCGCCCAAACATTCAATCAAAAGAGCAAATGAATCCGTTTTAGTTTATATATATTTAAATTAGTTTATATTGTGTTCATTATGTAACAGAGCGAAGAAAGCAAGCTGTTTGTGGTTAATTACGTGAATTAACGGTACTTTTAACAACATAAACATGACTTAACAGTTGATTAATTAATGGGTGCTCGAACAGAAATCAGGATTTTTTTTTCGTTTACTCTTGCATATGCATATAAACTACTAATTATCATAACATTTATTTGACACAATTTTGATTTTAATTAATAAATAATTAATGCATGAATATGGGCGCAAAAAACAGCACAAAAAAATCCATCAGAAGTTGTACCCCTTTTTTTATTATTGCTTTAATAAAACAGTTAGGCCTACACCATGATAAACATTAGGGACACAATTTAAAACGAGCCAACCACCATTTATTCAATAATACAGTCCCAGACATCATATAGCGTTCGTATTCAGTGCTGATTGGTAAATAGTAGTAACATGTTAGATTACACAATGATGTTTAGTTGAATAGTTTTGTAATGTCTTATCTTCAAGCGGCGGAATAGCACTGGATGAATTTAAAATAAGAGAAAAAAAAACATTTTAATGAAATTTTCACTTTTAACAACAAACTCGAGTAGGCACAAAATCCATGGCTGCACATTTTAATTAATATATTAGGTGCCCAAGAGGTTGTTGGGCGCACAAACCTTATTCACAAACAACACCAAGAACACACATTTTTATTAAACCATACTTTTTGTTGCAATGCCTGGCAGTTTTATGTGGTCTATGAATGACAATTAATGCATTTGCTTAATAAAATTTTGAAGAATACAAATATTCATTAAGCACATTTTCATTAAGCAACTTCACTTCATTAAGTTTCATTCTTCCGCAAGCAGACATAACAAGCTGCTGTATTAACAGGTCAAAGCCATATGTGTTGGACTTATTGACCAATCAGCATCCAGGGCCGGAAACTATTCGTTTTGTGATTTGTTTTTAGTGAAAATGTTAATAAAAGTAGGCTATAATTTATCATAGAAATGAGCTTTTGTTGCCATTGGTGTTTGGTAGTGTTGCTGCTGCTGAATGAATTAACATGGTTTCAGTTTAGCCTAATTTTTAAGTACCCAAACTCAAATTACGTGTAAATTTGAACCTGACTCTGTCACATACATTTATGAAATATTTCATGTGACAAATAAATGAAGAGTTCAGATGCAAAAGCCTCTAAATTCCATTTGAAATTTTCTTCTTTAATGATGATTTTTATCAAACTTGTATAGGCTATTTAAGTTCAGTAATTTATAGGTAATTATCATTGTCATTTAAGTGAAATTACTGAACTTAAATATACAAGTTTGATAAATATCATCATTAAAGAAGAAAATTTCAAATGGCATTTAGAGGCTTTTGCATCTGAACTCTTCAAATAGTTTTATTTTTTTAAAGTGGATAAACAGTGTAAAGTGCGGTATTTTATTACCCTGCTGGCCAATGAAGCAATGTTAAATCCTCGCTTTATTATGCCTCTTCGTAGAATAAGGCTAAATTACCTTTTCACAACGACTACATATAATTAGAATAACAGTAAAGTGTTTAATAGTATTGGTGTATAAGTATTTAAAATGTTGCAAAATGGTAATAAATACTTCAATACAACATCGATTGCTTCCTGCTGCTGTTGCACACCTCGACCCTTTCTCTTTCTCAGACAAACAATATAGCCCTCCCGTTTTATTAATGACGGAAAACATCTTTAAATGTCTGTAATGTTGGGAAACTTGCTTGTAAATAAGTTACTTGAATCATGTACAGGATGTATAGATATGATCATTGTTAGATCGTTGTAGAAAGAATGTCCGAGAGATTAGGGGAGGTTGAAATGGCGACAGTGCTGATCTGTGTTACCTCCACTAAAGAAAACCGCTAAATTGTTATATTCCGTGAGCATTCTTTGACTAAAACCACCACAAATGTGTACATTAGGGTCTTCTTTATGCAAAACATCTATCGTTTTAGTTATGATTTTCGAATTTTAATATATAATCTACAAAAGAACAGAGGAAGTGCGACGTTTACCGCTGAGACTCGCACTAAATTTGGACGCGTTTTTATTTTTGTACTAAAAACTGACCGATGTTTTACACGAAACATGAGCTGCCCTTAAAGAAGAAAGACTGAGGTATCTGGACGTGGTTTAAAGTCTGCAATCCACCATTCTGTATCGCGGGAAACCTTGTGTTTTTCAAGATCAGAAAGCACATCTACAAACGACTCCGTCCTGTTGAGAGCGTCGGTTGAGGCGGTTGAGTCTATATGGTTCTCATCTCCCGTTTAAATCCCGCCCTCAGCTGTTGGATGTAAACATTGTTTGTTTGACAGCTCTGTACTACGAGACATCGGCTCTAAGTTTACTGAAACTATGACAGAAACTGCTCCTGCTCCCGCGGCTGCTCCGGCCAAAGCCCCAAAGAAGAAGGCAGCAAAGGCGAAAAAGCCTGGAGCAAGCGTGTCAGACCTTATCGTGAAGGCGGTTGCCGCTTCCAACGAGCGCAAAGGAGTTTCCCTGGCGGCTCTAAAGAAGGCTTTGGCAGGTGGTGGATATGACGTTGAGAAAAACAACTCTCGCGTCAAGATCGCTTTGAAATCTTTGGTGAAAAAGGGGGCGCTTGTTCAAACTAAAGGCACCGGGGCATCCGGATCTTTCAAGGTGAGCAAGAAACCAGCCGCCAAGAAAACCGTCAAGAAAGTTGTGGCGAAACCGAAGAAGCCAGCCGCGAAGAAGGCGCCGGCCAAGGCAGCTAAGCCCAAGAAGGCAGCAGTAAAGAAACCTGCCCCAAAGAAGTCTCCCAAGAAAGTGAAGAAACCGGCAGCGGCCAAGAAAGCCACCAAAAGCCCGAAGAAAGTGAAGAAACCGGCAGTGAAGAAAGTTGCAAAGAGTCCTAAAAAGGTCAAAGCAGTGAAGCCTAAAGCCGCAAAGCCCAAGGCTGCCAAGGGGAAGAAGACATCCGCCGGGAAGAAGACATCCGCCAAGAAGAAGTAGACTGACAGACTTCACTCCAAAGGCTCTTGTAAGAGCCACCCCATCTTCACAGAAGTGCAAATGTTCCTGATGTGTAAGAAGGCTACTGCCTTTTTAAAAGACTGAGAAAAGATTTACTTTTTTTTTTAGATTGGATGTGACACTGTTTTGAGTAACTTAGTCTTGTTTTAGAGTCTTATTTGCTTCTAAAAAAATATCACCAGCGCGATCGAGCATCAAGATGCTGTGGAAGACTTTTATCAAGATCGGTTTACTTTGTATAAGATAAAAACACATGACAGTTTCTACCTCTGTAGGCTACCTGATACACAAAGCCGATTACTTGGTGTAGATTTTCAACCCTTCAGAGATTATACAGAAGAGTCCGCTGGTTGGAAAGTGTCCAAAATGTGCATACAGTAACATATAACGTTATAAATAACGTTAGTTTGTTCAAAGTTCATCGTGTGCGAGCGTGAGTGCACGTGACTAAAAAGATGATGAGTGTGTTTTATCACTACGATTCGTTATATTTATATTTTTTACTGGATTATACGAGACTTTCCTGTAAATACAGCAATACAGAACAAACACTTAATTTATTCATAGTTAAGCGATGGTTAACTGCATTCCATCAGTGAAAGGACTTGTTTGTGTTTTTTTTTTTGTATACTGTTGTTCTTAACATTTATCCATACATAAACTTATATTTTGTTCAACGTTTATTATAAAACTCCTAATAAAAAAAAATGATATCAGAATTATATGAGTGCTCATTTGTCTATGTACTCAGAATCTTTTGGGGGCCCCTCCCACTACGTAGATTCACCTTTGCTTGACGATTTTAAGAGTATCACCCAATAATGATACATTATAATTGATTCAGTGAGGTTATAAATACAAAAAATAAATAGTTAATAAAAAATAGATAGCCTAAATAGATAGCATACTTTTTACTTTCCTCTTTTACTAACTCTTTTACTTCTTTAACTTATTCAAAACATATCAAATAAAGTATTTACATTTATTCATTTAGCTGACGCTTTTATCCAAAGCGACTTACAATTGCAAAATATATCAGTGGTCACACACCTCTGGAGCAACTAAGGGTTAAGTGTCTTGCTCAGGGACACATTGGTGTCTCACAGTGGATTCGAACCTCATTCTCTCATAACAAAGGGATGTGTCTTATCCACTGCGCCATCACCACCCCTAATTCAAATTTATTTGATAGAATAATGACAACTGAAAAATCAAAAACATAATAAGAGCAAGGATTCAACAATGACAATTGTTAAACCCTGTAAAAAATATTATTATTTCTCAACTGTCTCAATACAGTATAACTGTCCACAAAATCTTTTTTTTATTAGTATTAGTATTATTATTATTAACAGACTTTGTTAGATTGTACATGACAGAATCTAACAAAGTCTGTTACCGTAATACCGGTAATAATGCACTGGCGATCGTTGTATGTGTGTGTGCAATGTATTTTTCCCCTCTAGGCTTGCCGTAGATAAGATTGGGTTGATTGCTACACATGCAAACATATTTTTATCTTGTTTTTTTTCCTCCTCGTCTGTCATTTTCTTTGTACTATTTTCGGCACCAGAGGGATACGTTTTCTGTGACATGGTTTTACGAGTCCGCTACTATACGCAGTTGCGCAGGAATTGTCTATGCACGCAGAGGTGTCTCGATTATGGGCATGATTTGACGCTGGCAGACACAGCAGCAGTTGTTGGAGGTATATTAATCATGAAATCAGAATGTTCTTGTCTTTTATTATTCATTCATTCATTCATTCATTCATTCATATTAATTCATTCATTTATGTCACTTGTTTAAGTGACATAAGTCAATTAAAAAATACTTTTCGATTTTTCGAGTCGATTCGGGTGCCCCCTGGTGGCCAAGGGGCCCCAAGCAGCTACTTAGTTTGCTAATGCCTCAATGTACACCATGCTTGTTTAATTATTATTGTTTTTAATTAAGGAGAATTTTTTCTTACTAGAAGTCATTTTTGAACATATTTTTGGTAGACGTTGTTTTTATCAATAGGCTATATTTAATTATTTATTTTGTATTTGGGGGGGATAAAAAATAGGCTAAATAAATTGAGGTTAAACTTCATATATGAATGTATATATGACAAAAATCTTGTTACTGAATGATTTCAAAGTTTGATCATAGATCTTATTCACAGTTGCGCCATCTTTGATTTTTAACGGAAGTGAAAGCGAGGCTGCATCAATAGACATACATCTCTTCAGTGTGTTGTAATTATTCAATGTGTTTTTTTTTATTGTTGTGCTCACAGAACACTGCAAAAACATTCCAGTAAAAAACAACAACTAAAGACAGCATGAGCTGTGGAAAATTATAAGTGAAATTATAAGGAGCATAGACAGTAAAAGAGCCATATAAAGATTTTTTACAGCAGATTTAATTGAACGCACGCAGACTCTCTTTCATACCTCATGGCGCTGCTTTTTTTTAAATGGTTCTGTGGAGTGGCAAATGTTCAAATTTCCCAAGTAGTCAATCAAATAATAGAATTGTATTATTACTAAGGTAAACCAGTAGATATTATAAAATAATGAAATATTTAAGATGGAGTAGGCTATTGCAAATCACACTGCAGAACAACAACTTCCTTAAAACATTTTATATAAACCTTTTATACATTAATATCTTTTAAGTTTCAATTGTATTATCTTAAAACAAAATCTCAGCCTCCAACAGGTTGGATGTGAACAAATAGATCAGAAGCTTTATTTGGACAAGAGTTAGACAGATTAATTTTCAAGATAGTTGCATGAATAGGATTTTTCGCCACCAGGGGTCGCTAACCTCTTACAATAACAAAGGTATCGATGACGCAAAGCATTAAGCGGAATTATGGATCTTGTCGTCAAGCTGATGGATCTTTTATGGATGAGTGAATACATTGATGTTTTTAACATGACTGTGGTATGAAGCATGGCGCGATTGCTACTGAGAGACGTACCAGCATCACACGCAACTCGAGTCCCGTGGATATAAAGGATTAAGGACGTAATTTACTTGTATTTTTGATACCTTGGCATTAATTAAAAAATAATAATAAAAAAATAAATAAAATAAAGGATTAAGGACATTTCATTCTACCCACGCAAGCGCTGAATTAACACATGTCAGTTTTTTGAACGAATGAAACTTTAGGTAACACGGCTGTTCTACTTGCTCTACTATCACACTAAACGGCATTTGAGAGTGTTTAATGTTGTTAGTTAGGTTGTTTGTTCGGCTATATGATATAGCAGTAAGCTAGATTAACATTAGATAAACATACAGATCATATTCTAAGATTTCATCATGTTGAACTTAATAACATTGATTAGATTTATGTACATTTGCTCACCTGTCTAATAAAGTACATGCAACACTATAGTGACTCTGTCAAGTCGAAGTTAGTAGGCTAGTGGACGTGGAGCTCTCGGCATCTCGAAAGTTTTAGAATTTCGTTTTAGTGCTCTTTTTGTCTCAAAATCTGCTTGCCATGGTCCATAATGTTTGAACAAAATATTCCATGGTCGCCATGGTTACTATAGCAGTACGAACGCGGACAAAGCGGATATGACGCCATTGACTGGGAATTTTTAATGGGTTTTTGCTAAACCGCCTGAAATAAGGTCTGTGGTGAACAAAGCCTCTTAACATTTTCACGTTTTAATCTATGACATAGAACACACAGTTATATATAACCTGCTTGTGGGTTTTTTAAACTATTGTGTCTGCTTGTGTTTTTAAAAAAAAAACTCTATAGGCTTCAAAATGTATAAATTTTGGATTAACTTGTAGAGATTATCTTGATAGACAAAACGTGTAAGGGTCACAACGCTTTGTTAAACACATATCTTATTTTTTTTTGCGATTTTCCAAAAGTCTATGGGGAAAATGCATTGCTTTTCGATCGAGGGAACCCATGCGCGGCTAGCTTCCGAGTTGGTTGTCCTACAAAGTGACGTCATCACTTCGGCACTCTATTTTCTCAACTAAACTAAACAAAATATATAATATTGGCCTAGTGGTTTTTGGATATTTTACTGCAAAATCCTACATATTGTTCCTTTCATATTTTCCATTGATCTCATATGCCATGCTCAAACAAACAAACCAATAAATAAACAAAATATGTCAGTGCCTTTCCCTTTAAGAGAGAATAGAGGACATTTCAAAGTCAGGGGTTATTAATTTTTAGCTAAGTGAACAAAAATTTTCAACATGATAGAATATGATTATTATTTCCTCCACTAAGTTAACTGAAAATGATTGGGAATTTTCAAGTAGAAATAACAGTTGATAATGCATTATGAGCTTTAGCTGGTAAAATATGGTTCTATAGGATATTTAATTATATCTCATAGTGAGAGTGACCTTTTAAAAGATTAATGAGCAGCAGAGTATGTAGAAACAGCATTCAAAATCAGTTCTCTATAGTTCTCTATAGTCACAATTAATCATCTCACTCAGTTTGTCTAATATACAAAACATACAAAACAATTACTCTCAGCCAAAGTACGCCTAAACATATGCAGATCACAGTATTCCAGATATAGGAGATTCGCCTACATTTTGAGCCACATGTTCAAGAGACACATGATATGATTTTATCCAAGGATAATTCTGTTTCTCCATGATCCACCATAGGAGGCCTTTCCCCATAAACAAAGTTACATTCAGTCTCAAAAGGGACTTCAGCCATCTGTGACACTGTATCAAAGCACATGTCTTCTTCACTTATCTCCCTGACAGCATGCGGATGCGGACAGTGGTGACCGAAGAGGTGAACATCTCGAAGATTCGTGGAGTCGCGATGATACGACACCAGCTCGTTGCTGAAGTCAACCGTTTGAACAGTATTCCGAGAACACAGCTTCCCACATCCCAAGAGACTGGAGAACGCTTTGCGGAATTCTGCATTAAAGGCATACACTACAGGATTCAAGGTAGAGTTTGCCCACCCACACCACACAAACACGTCGAAGGTCGTCTTATTGACGCATGGGATCTGCCCGGCGTTGTGGAGGCCAGGGTCACAAAATGGCACCATGCAGTTGAGAATGAAGAAAGGAAGCCAACAGCAGACAAACACACCCATGATCATCGACAGAGTTTTCAGGACTTTGGTTTCCCTCCTAAATGAGCTTTTTAACTTCTCTTCAGGAGCTTTATTGCAGCTTTGGCAGGACTGGACATGTTTAATGTTGCACTCTTGCATTGATATCCTTCGGATCTGCCTTTGTGCTATGAGGAAGATGCGTGTGTAAGTGACAATCATTATGGAAACAGGGATGTAGAAGCTGATTAGAGACGAAGTGATGGCGTAAGTGCGGTTCAAACTGGCATCGCATTTTTCCGATATTTCTACCAGGTCTTCTATATGGCCGGGAGTCTTATGCCAACTCAGCTGCACAGGAATGAATGAGATCAGAACAGAGAGAGTCCATGCCACTCCTATCATGACAAAGGCCACTGTTCTTGTCATTTTCTGCTCGTAGCTCAACGGGATGGCAATAGCCCAGTAACGATCCACACTTATGATGCACAGGTTAAGAATGGAGGCAGTGGAGCACATGATGTCAAAGGCTATCCATACTTCACAGAAACTGCCGAACGGCCAGAACCCCATAATCTCAGCTGCTGCCTTCCATGGCATCACAAGCGAGGCAACTAAGAGATCTGAGACAGCCAAAGACACTACAAACACATATGCCACTTTGGAGCGCAGATGACGGAACCGTACCACCGCCGTGCAGACCAGAGCATTCCCTAGAAAGGTGGATAGCACAAAAATAAAAAGCAGACAAGCAGTCGTGGAGCGAGTTATTAGCTCTGACACATAACCTTCCGTCTGGTTTACCATCTTCTGGGATGTCCCTATTACCCTGGCTGCGACCTGTCAAGCATCCATCCTCTGGGGAACATTTGCCGATAGTTTAAGATCCAAAGACTTCGTCCATTAATGAGAGTTGCCTGTAATAATTGAACATTTCTGAAATAACCTTCCCTCCTTCCTTCAACCAGAGAAGTGAGTGAGAATACAGTGCAGAGGGTGAGACTAATGATCTTGGAAGTAGGACTAGGGGGAGGAGCCTAAGAAACAACCGGAGAGGGGGAGAATGTGACTCATGTCATGTAAATTATGGGCTATGTATTAGCCTATTTATTTCTTTTTTTATATATTTTATGTTTTCAATTGGGTATTAGGCTTTATAGAAATAATTTAAATGTATATAATTAAAGAAATAAAGCAACATAAGTGGGAAATCATCTTTCTTTGAACACAGCTGCTGTCTGACTAATGGAGTTTAATTAGTGTTTATGGATTAATTTACTGAATTGAATAAATTCAGCTCCTGTATGTGCACCATTATCCACAAGATGGCAGTACACGTACATTAATGTCCAAAAAGAAAATAGATCAAGTAAATTCACATTTATTTATGTAGCACTTTTTTACAATAGTATCAAAGCAGCTTCACTGTGATAACATGAAAACATTACAGCAAGTTTGTTTCTAGAAGAAAATTGTGCCATCATCCACCTGAAGTAAGGAAGATCAATAATTTTGTTGAATATTAAATGTCCCCAACTAAGAAAGCCAAAAACCAAGGCAACAATGGAAGGAACCAAAACTTCATCAGGTGACAGAATGGAGAAAATAACTTTGGGAGAAACCAGGCTCAGTCAGTGGCCAGGTCTCCTCTGGCCAACAAACGAGCAGTGTATGATTATGATTTAGGCAACATTACAGGTCAGAAGTTAGATTGGATTAGAACATTCACAATATTTATCCAGTTCCATCTGGTTGGAGGTCGGAGTCATCACGCCGATATGGAGATGAGTTCGCAGGTTGAGGCTGGCACTTCAGGCATGCGTTGTGGTCACGTCCAGGCGCAGGTTCACCGTCTGATCTGGATACGGCCCGGATCCGGCTGACTTCAGTAAACCTCAGAATAAATGGAAAGACTAACATTAGTGTAGATGCCATTCTTCTTATGATGTAATGAGTACATCAGGTGTTGTAGGAAGTGCCCCCGGGTCTGGCTGACCTAACCTATGCAGCCTAATATGGATTACAGGTCTTGGTCCAATAAATTCAAGTGAAACGATTCCTTCAAACAGTTCATTTCAATGAACCACAGAACCAGGACTCTTTGCATATATCTGTCATCACGGTCTCTGACAAATCAACTAGGAATATTACATCCTCAAATAATTTGCATTGCAATAAATAAATAATAAAAAAAAAGAATAATATTTTTATATAAAGTTTATTTAGCACATAATATATTTTTGTTGTAAAAAAAAAGGTGTTTATTTCCAACATTTCGTACACCAGATCAGCCAAAACGCACAAATCTAAACTTTAGCTATGTTTCCATTATTATTATTTTAGTGTTTATTAGTTCAATGGCTATATTCAGAATACCATGTTATAATAAGATGAAATAATAAGATGAATGTGTGCTCGGAAGACAAGCATTGCGCTGAAAGCAATTATGCATGCTATGTTCAGTCAGTATGCTGTGCCGTTCGACTCGTGAACTGCTCGGACCGATTTAGTTCAATCTAATACGTGAATGAATCATTCAATCTGTTTTTTTTTTTTTTTTTTTTTTTTTTTTTTTTTGACAAACCGAAAAGATCTGCCGACCGTCGTTCGTTTTACTGGAACACACTCGCCACAACCACTCGTTAAACAACAAAACCAAGCTACACAAGAAGCCTACACTATCACATTAGGGGAGTTTTGTTTTCCTCCCCTCGTAAACTCCCCACCCGCACGTCAACCCAGTGCTCTCGTCGTGCTATGGGATTATTTAATAGGTCATAATAATAATTATTATTCTTTTTTTTTGGTTTAAATTAAAACAACCCTTGGGCACTTACATAATGTCTGTTTCTAAAAAAAAAAAAAAAAAATCCAGTTATGTGCACGTGCAACTGGAGGTCACCAGCTCACACAGTGGTGGGTGTGAGGGGGCAGTTCAACAAGGCGTAACTTTGTTTCGACTTTCCTGAAATTGCAGGAGACCAACCAGTGAAAGTTTTGGGGATGTGCAACAGCTGAGAGAAGCAGAGATTCACATTTCGGAGGAGTATTCTACTGTGAAATTTACACTCGCAGCAAAAGTAAGCTAACAACTGCATCTGCTTTGAGTTATTAAACTGTGTTTTATAACATACCGTTTTTGCTTCTTTCAAAGAAAAAAGCATGAGATTTGTACTTGCATATTTCGTTTTTAAACCTTTTACATTCTTGCTTCATTCAGTTTTACAGTACAGCACGTTTACTGGTAAGATATTAGAAAAAAAAACCACCGTTTCTAATGGTTAGGTATGACGTCATGCTTGAGTCAGTGGGGCATGATGCAAGTACAAGCCTTTTATTTTTAAATGGAGTGATGAAAGCTTTGCATTGGGTTTATGTGACTGCATAAGATCAACTACATTTTTTATCAACACATTTTTATATAATTAATTATTAATATATGAGACTGAACACCGTGTTATTGTGTTACTTTGGCTTGTGAACCCTTCAATTCTGGTCTGAATCCTAATCATGGTGGTCAAGGGACTTGCTGTCTGGAAGTGCAGAATGCCAACAGACAAAAAAACAGATCTTTAGGGCAGGAATGTGAGTCACTCCCAAATCTGTAGAAGACACAAAGCTATAGGATTTGTCCAGATAAAAAAAAAAAAAAACATGTCTCAAATACATTTCTGAACTATCTGTAAGTGGAGGATGGAAATGTTGGATAATTGATTTTGAATATGCATTGTTTTAATAATCCTGAAATATATATTTATGTTTGTGGAATTTGGTTTTCACATTTAGTTTTAGTTTAGGTTGCAAGCTTCACCATTTTTATTTATTTTAGACAATAAGATTTTAAATGTGTGTGTGTGTGTGTGTGTGTGTGTGTGTGTAAGTGTGAAAGTGAGTGGAAGTCTTTAAAAAAGTACTTTTGAAGAAGTGCCTCTTTTATCTTGGAGTGGCAATCTTAAGGGAGCGAGCCCTTTGAAGCAGGTTACATTACTATTTTTCTCGCCTTTGAAAAAAAAAACAGCTTACATGCTAGACTGGAGAACAGAAAAGTCTTGAAGGCTCGTCCTATTAATCACATTATATTTTTTGCACTGAGGATGTAATTTATTTATGTCTGAGAACCCTAAGTTGTATTTTGCTTTTTTCTAATTTTCTATCTATAATTCTTATAGTCAAATTATATTATCACCACACGAATTTGAGTAAACTGGATTAGATAAATAGCAGCATTGCTCGTGTTTGTAAAAATAACCCAGCATTGTTTGAGAAAGTGACATTTTGCACAAAATATTTCTCAATATCAAAAGAACTTAGTGTAGAATCTTAAATATTTATTATTCATTTCACATTTATTTGTTTTGTATGTTTCAAAACCCTACAATTCTATGTATTTTGAAGGCCAGATGTTCAATGTGGCTTTTGTACTCCTTGTATATAAATGGTTTTTTTCAGCCAGAAAAGCAGTTACCTCTTCTACTCATGCTTACAATATTTCCATCAGCACATTATCTTGTGTCATTGAAAGAGAATATCTACCATCCTAATCAAAGTGTTTAAACATCTGTCAAACCGCCACGCTCAATTAAACTGTATTTTCTTTTAAGAACATGATTCTTTTCCATGGTATTCAAAATGATTTTTTGCTTAGGTCATGGGTAATGTAGATGAATGGTCTGCCACAGTGGGGTCTAAACAAGCCTCTGCGTTCTCATTATTGTTCGCTTTGATGTTGGCCGGTTTGGTGATGAACGAGAATTCATGTGCTATATTCTCCCTCGGCTTATGGCTTTAATAAAAGTTCTTTTGATCAAAAAGTACAGAGAAATGGGTGGCGTGAAATCTTAAAATGCATGAATTCTGTCTGTTATCATCAAACATGTCCTTCTGTGCTGTTTTTTAAATAATAACAAAAACATCAATTTCTTCACTTTCACTTTTTCTTTTTTGCAGGCCATAAAAACCGTCTGAGCCAAATCATTATGCTGGCCCTCTGGTTTGTATCATTTGTACTATTGTGTGCATGGAGTCACAGCTACGCACAGTATGAGCACTTGGGTTACCCTCCGGGCTACCAGGACTCTTCCCAGGATCTTTACAGTGCTCCAGAGCTTCCTGCAGATACACCCAGGATACAGCTACGTCTGGCAGGAGAGAAACGGAAGCACAATGAAGGGCGCGTTGAGGTCTTCTATGGTGGGGAATGGGGGACTGTGTGTGATGATGATTTCACCATTCACGCAGCTCAAGTTGTATGCAGAGAACTGGGTTATTTTGAAGCAGTCTACTGGTTTCCATCATCTAAATATGGGAAGGGAGAAGGTAAGCTTGTTGTGTTCAGAATGTATTTGATATAATCTGAAACTGATGCATTTTTCTTAACTAAAACGTCACCATAGTAGTACAGTATAGTATTATGAAAAGTGAATTGCAGTTTACATCCTATATTGTTAAACATAGTCATTCAATATAATATTCTTCTATGGAGACTTGATGACTAATCAGAATATATATGCATTATCGTCCTGTGTTTTTAGGCCGTATCTGGTTTGACAATGTCCACTGCACGGGGAAGGAGAGGAGTTTGGCTCAGTGTGAGTCTAATGGCATAGGTGTGTCTGATTGCAAGCATACTGAGGATGTCGGGGTGGTTTGCAGTGACAAGAGAATCCCAGGATTCAAGTTTGTTAACACCCTAACCAACAACATCAATGTAAGTAATTTCAGCACAAATGTGTTTCCACAGCAGCTTTAACACACAAAAACACAGCTCCACACATAACAAACAAGTAATTTCTACAATATAAAAAGTAGAAAGAAATAATATATATAAAATGAACAATAATAAGAAATGAGTGCTAACATACTAAGATAACAAAGCGCAAATGATTATATGAGTGCTGCAAAACTTGACCATAATAGGTCTCAACTATACCCTGACAGTGATGATTCATGTTATCATCATACACAATAGAATCTTTATTTATAAAGCACATTTAAAAATAACCAAGGCTGACCAAAGTGCCGTACAGAACTGAAAAAGTAAATAAAAATAAAATATAGCACATTAAACAATTTTACAAAACTATTCAGAGGCGTCGTGTCAATTCAAGTTTTTGAGCCATATGGATTCTGAATGCAACTTCCAATAGACACAGTTTTTTATTATTATTATTATTTTGTATAAAAGGAATGGTCCCCCAAACTGATCTCCTTTCAGTGAATTTTGCTATTTTGAAGCCAAAAGATGTCATCCAGTCTCTGTGGTTTATGCAGAAACAATCCAAATCACTCAATGCATTCTTTTCCATTTACTTTTCCACCCAGAGCAAAGTGGCTTTGGTTGCAAGGAATATGGCAATGGAATGTTCAAACATTTTTTTTTTTTACGCTACCCATATTTAGGTTGCTTGGCTTTGTCTAAATTAATTTCTTTGTCCAGTTAGAGTAATAACAGGATTTGTCCCCATCCTCTGTCTCTTTCCGTACACAAGCTGCTTTGAGCCGACAGTGTCATCTAGAAAGAATGCATTAAGCAATCAAAGAAATATGGCATGATAGGCGCTCCTGTAAACAAAGGGAAGTGTAATTCGAGCCTCATGATTAAACACAGACTTAAGAATATGTGACAAATAAGACTTTGGCAACCCTGATTGATATTCTCAGTGTAAATCTAATGGAAACCTCAATGAACCCCCATCTAAGAAAACAACCCCCAGTAAGAAAACATATGAATAAATATGCATAGTTTTCAAAAAGATGCCTATTCTGTCTTAATTTCATTTCATAGTATCATTGCCATTTGTAATATAATATGGAATATATGAGTCAAACAAGGGCTAGGGGGAAGTCTAGACATCTTAGATCAGCTTCTACTAGTCTCCAGCTGAGAACCTGGAGAGAAAGCCAGAGTCAGCTTTTCCGTCTACTGATAGCCTGCACGGGCTCCATGTTAAGGCAGTTAAATCACAGGGAGGTTCACCATAATGCTGGCCACATTCAAGTCATCTGGGAATGTTCATAATCAACCCACTGTTGCCTTCCTTGGGTTAAAATGGGGAAAAAATGATGTAATGTAAGCGTGGTGCAGAGATGTGGAGGAGAGGTCAAAGATGAGACTCTAAAACAAGATGCAAACAGACCCTGAGGAGAAAACATGAACGCTACATTTCATAGAAATTCTTGTTAGAAGTAATTTGGCTTTGTTAACACTTTTACAACAGCGGAAGTTAAACATGATGACTGCCAGAACTTCATCTCAGACAGATGCTGTTGATCAGCTCAGAAACAGCCATTATTGTTCTAGTGACTAATATGTTATGTGGTCTCTTCTCTGGAGTCTGGCTCAGTATGTGTACATTTATTCTTACTCTACAGGTTCCATAAAAGCCCATTTAAATAAATAAAAAATTCAACCTCAAATTTTCTGAAATTCTTAATAATATTCTTATTAAGCATTCATAATGTAAATGTTATGCAACTATGCATTCCTGTAAAGACAAAGGTCAAATTGTGACTCACTTATATCTTATAATACTTTATTATAAGATTATAGAATTTCTAAATGTTTATTTCCCCTGCTTTTAAAAACTGAGGAATGAGTCAAAATTACAGTCTGTGGTAATGAATAACATGCCACAGATGCTTGATGGATGTTAGATTAAAATAACCCATAATATTCCTTAAACTACTACATTTCGATCTGTTATTTGCTTAGTAACAAGGTAACAACTTGCATTTACTTGTAATGCAGGGATTTTACTTACATTGCTTTCTCTCTGTCTTTTAGACAAATTTCATCTTGTTTATTTATCTGCCTTCCCTTCCTTTCAAGTTACATACTTTTGGGGTGGTGACAGTCCCGACATTAAACAGGATGTTTATCTCTATGAAGTAGCAAGTGTAATCTCTGAAAATGGCAATCAAACCACTGATATGTGACTTGCAGTATTATTTACTGTGGGAAGAAGTTATTCTATGTTCCTCAGTATTAGCTAGGCCTTTAATGCTTTGTTGTCCACATTCAGCATATTATGTGATCATTGCTTGTGGTTTTCATTGTACATTTTGCTTTTGACCCAAGTGGAAAAACACATATTTCACATTCCTGAGGATTCAACGATGTCTGTAGATGTAAAAGTTTTCCTTGAAAACCGACACTGATGTTCAGTGTTTTTTTTTCCCCTCAGTGTTCTTGTTGGAGACTGTTTGGTCAGAAATAACTGGTCAAAAGTTTCAGTCAGAAAAAGAAATAAGGCCAATTAAACATGGGCACTAGATAAGTGGAATGGACCACCCTACTCTAATCCTGCTATTTTAAGAAACAGATAATCACCGGTTTGTGCAATGGCTCAGGACAAGACAGGCCCTGGACTGCTGTCCAGCAATGGTCTGTGTTCTTTGTTAACTGTTCAGCTCAGTAACAGACCTGCATTCAAAAACTATGAGCTAACTGCTAAAACACTGTTCTATAATGAGCTGGGGGAGGGAACTGGGTAGTTGGAAATGGGCTCCATCTGAAGAGGAGGAATACTTTAACATGTCTTTGCAAAGAGAGAGTTAAAAACACAAACAATTAACAAGGGTCACTAGAGTTTTTAAAAGAGGGCACCATTTTAGTTACTTCTGGGGGTAGTTGACACATAACAGAAACATATATTGAATCAGAAAGATGATTGTTATATTCGATTATTTAAAAATGTTACCATAATGTCTTTGTTGTCTTTGTTTCCATCCAGTTTTCTTGTGATAATAATATCTGTCATTTGTACCAATTTTAGTTCCCTTTCAAGGGAACTCGAGCTGCATCGATGACGATACTATGGGAACGTCCTTCAGCGTAGCACGTCTGAATTTATGAATGAAAACTAATCCAATCCTATTGGTGTTGCGTGGTGATCATACGGATGTGTACAAAAGCACGCCGGCACACAAAAAAGTCAGCTTTTTGCTATTCAGCAAGTAATCTGTGTGTTTGAAAACAGTTTGTCCTATTTGGGGTTGTTTTGTCTGAAATTACTACTATATTAAATGGTTGAGCAGATGCGCGCTCCCCGTGGTTCAGGCCCCGCATCCGCTGAGGCGATGCAGCAGCGTAGATTGTGGGGCTCGCAAAGAGAGCTTTCAGAGGGGATCGGGACTGCCGAGGCACTTTCCCAATCCTCATCTGAAAGCTCAGATTCCCCTATCCCCCGTTTGGAAGCCAGCCCCGTGGCTTCTCCCGATCGGGATGTAGACCTGGTGCTGCAGCTGTCTGATTCCGAGCAATTAGACGTGCTCAGCATTGTAGAGGGGGATCAAAGTGAGACACATCATCCCAATCAGTCTGCTCCCATGTTATGATGAGCTTTTGGAGGTTGTAACTGAATATTAGTTGGCCACAAGTGCATGGATGCAGCTCTGGCCCCACTGAGGCTTCACTGAGGCCCTTCAGTACTGGAGTTTCTCCAAGACCGCTTCTCTGCTGGGCTTACCCCGTCCACACTCAGGGTATACGTGGCTGCCATTGAGGCTTTCCACGCTCCTCTGAGTGATGGACCTCTGGGGAGGCATCAGCTTGTTGTACGCTTCCTCCATGGGGAATGGAGAATGAGATCTGCGACTAGCACCAGGGTTCCTATCTGGGACCTGGCAGTGGTCCTTGAATACTCCTTTTTTCACCGAAGCATTTTGAGAGCCGCTTCAGAACCGTTACCTGCGTGCGAACCAGTTCTTTGTGTTTTGACAGCCAAAGAACCGGTTCTCGGACAGGAAAACTGGTTCCAAAGTGGCACCAACTCTTTGCTTGAATAGAACCGTTCTTTTACCATGTCATGCTTACGTCGGGGGCTGGGGGCAGGTTTAGATGTGTTCTAAACTTCTTTTCTGACCATCGCAAAGCCAGGAGAAACATTTGCAGAAACACGATGGAGTCCGCCTTTGTAATTGTTATGCTTGAAGTTGGCGCAAGCGTTTCTACTTTTTTTAACATTACAAGCAAAGAAAAAAACAGTCACATTATAGAACAAATAAATGGAAAGAAAAAAAAGACACAAGACAGGGTACATAACTAATCAGAAAAGATTACATATCAAAAGAAAAGATTAAAAGACTTACATATTTTAATTCTTTTTAAAGCCTTCTTGGTACACGAGTTAGAGATAATCCCAAAGTAATGTTGTGCTTGCAAGCATTTCTAACTAAGACGTATGGCGACGTACACAGTGACGTAGCAACGTCATTCCCTGGGTGCCCTAGTCAGTGGGAAAACGAACAGGTTCTGAAAGCGTTCACAAGTTGAACCAACTTTGAACCAGCACCAGTTCCGAACCAGTTCTTTTTGGTGGAAAAAGAGTAGAAGTGTTTGTTGAGGCCCCCTTTGAACCCCTGGAGTCACCCGAGGCCCGAGAACCTGACTCTCAAGATGGCCTTTCTCCTCGCCATCACCTCTCTTAAGAGGGTAGGAGATCTCAAGGCACCCTCGGTATCTCCTCAGTGCCTGGAGTTTACTCCTGAGAGAGTCAAAGCCATGCTGCACCCCAGTTTGGGCTACGTCCCTACGATGCCAGCCATTATGGCGAGGTATGCGTTTCTGCAGGTGTTTCATCCCCCACCTCATGTGATGGCTGAAATGGAAGACTTCATCTGCTCTGCCCTGTCAGAGCACTGATTTATGTTCAGGAAAGCGGACCAGTTGCTGGTGTGTTTCGGGTTCCCCAAGAAAGAGCTCCCCGC